CTATATTATCCGCATTTTACAACATTTCGCAACGAAACTTTGGAATATTACTAATTTTGTGATGCTCTTTTGTCTAGAATTTTTGTGATGCTCTTTTGTCTAGAGCTAAATTTTTGTCTAGACTTGTTTAGACAAATTTAGTGTATAATGCAAATGGTCCATTGGGGCATTGCCTGTGCTGTCACCTTTTACTATTTAGTTGTGAGAAAGTGTTTATTGATCTTTGAAAATGATTTCTGTAGAGGAAAACGAAACGTTAGACGAGATAAATAACACAAATGAATAAACCTGGATTCAATCAAATCTATTCGTGCAAGTTGACATTTCAACCAAAAAAATCAATACACTTTTTATTTCTTTTGAATATATATTAATAGAGATTGAAGGTACAAAAATCGGTGATGTTGTAGTAGAATGATTTTTCGTCTAATTTTCATGGTATCAAGTCATCTTAAATCAATGTATCAGCGTTGAGCGTTGTATATTTTTATAAATAAATAAATTCATGGTTAATAGTTGTATCTTGTTTTTATCAGTGAAAATTAAGCAATCTGATTGGCCGAGGAGCCTTTCAGAGCGGGCCGGTATTTTACATCCGGCCCGCTTTGAAACGCAACTGCCCCCTGGGTTTTCAAAAACCGAGGAAACAATTTTTAAACTAAAAAAGTCTGCCCAAAATGTTTTAAAAACGTAGCCTAAAGATAGTCAGAATACGAAAATGAATTGCATCAAGCCCTAAGCACGATGTACACCAGAATTGACAATATTTTGAGAGAAATGTGACTGAAAGTCAAAAAGTTATTTGACATGTATACGTACACTGAGAAAGTTTTTTAAAATGCTCGTGTATTTGGCCACTTAAAAGCGAAAAAATTACAGCTTAAATAGATCTTGTAATTTTAAGATACATGCAATCTTAAAAGGTTAACTGCAGTGAAAACAAATCACGAATATATTCTTTACATATATGTGTCATGCATTTTTCACTGACATTGCCACACGAGTTGAGTTAATTAGAAAATACTGTAAATTAAAGTGACACTGCGGGAAAACGCAAGATCAAAAAATGGCGAACATTTTAAATTTTATTACTCAAAACAAAAACATGGCTATATATACACTCGATATAAGTGAAACAAACAAGAGAATACAGAAAACGGGTAGACTAGACCTTCATCATATACGACTCCTCTAACATTTAAGACTAGTTAGTCATATACGAGTCCTTTAACATTTATACAGGGTGTCTAAGAAAACGCTATGGAAATTCAACAGGCTGTCGTGCATCATCAACGTTGCTAAACAATTCAATTTTTACATAGGACGAAAAAGCTTTTTTTAAATCGTACCGATGAGAAATGGCCACATACAGGGTGTATAAAAAAAAACTGAACCCTTTCAAATTCAAATTAGCTATAACGTATTACAGCTCTGATTGCCTTGAATTAATGGTTGGGTAAGAACACAAGGAATTTTTATTTCTTTGAGTTTTGTCCCATGAGTACAAGACCTAGTGTTCTTATCCAACCATTAATTTAAAGCAATTAGAGCTGTCAAATTACTACAATACGTTATAGCTAATTTGAATTTGAAAGGGTTCAGTTTTTTTTTATACACACTGTACTCGTCAAATAAAATTTAGATAATTTAACATTCAATTTTAATTCCCTCTTGGGAATTGTCTATGTTTCTTTTCCATGCAATTCCCAACGGTGGAAGAATGTGATTTCGACCAGTAATTTTTATTTGACGAGTATGTGGCCATCTCTCATCGTTACGATTTAAAAAGAGTATCATTGTAAAGCTAAATAACTGTTCTTTTTTCCTATGTAAGAATTGAATTGTTTAGCCACGTTTATGATACACGACAGCCTGTTGAATTTCCATTGCGTTTTTTTTGAGACACCTAGGACTATACGACTAGGACTATACGACTAGGACTATACGACTAGGACTATATGACTAGGACTATATGACTGGGACTATGTGACTGGGACTATATGACTAGGACTATATGACTAGGACTATATGACTAGGACTATATTGACTGCATAACTAGGACTAAAATCATAAATCTTGTCCTACGTTTTTATAGTTTACGGTAAATCATAGACTAATTTAAGTAACCGTCTCCGTCACATGAAGAGCGCGCACGGTGATCAACGCAGTGAAGAAGCTCCTTTCGCCAGCGAACCAACAATCACGCAACATCTTTTCACATGCATTGTTGCACACAAAGTGGGAAAACTGTATGGGTAAAACTCCTCTAGAAAATGCCAAAACAACCATCAACCCACCGCGATTAACAGTATTCCTGGTATTGAATCAATGTAACTCAACGTAACCTGATTGTTCTTGATGGTCTTATGGCGCAATCAGGGGAGATCAACGAATCACCGATTTGTTTACAAAGGGGAGTCATCACCGCAACCCGTCCGGTATGTATAGTTCAAAATATATTCCATCGAGGCAAAGAAACCGGAAACAGTCTAATACGCACTATGTAGTCACTCTTCAAATCGCCCCGGCACAAGCAACAGATTTCTATTTTGGCATGACAGTCAATCCAGGTCGCGTTCAAAATTATGAAAACAGTCTAATTCTCGTCAACCAATGCAGACAATTAAAACAATGTGAAAAGTAATTTTTCAAAATAAACTAACCATTTACAAAGCAAATTTACCATCATTCGTCCAAAAAATTATAAAAAAATGCTGTTATGTGGACTTATCTCGCAGACTTCGGCTGAAAAGCCACCCAAAAATGGCGGCGTGAGAAAGGCTAATTGGGGGCAATCAGACGAGCAATACTGGTCCCCATATGACACCGATGTGGAAGAGTCGAAGAGAGCAATTCCGCTGCCACATTGAAGGGCAACTAGACGCATCACTCCACCATAGACATGTAGTCATAGTCGTGTAGTTATAATATAGCCATATATATTGGTATATAGTCATATGCATGTGGTCATAGTCATGTAGTCATATATATGGCCATGTAGTGATATAGTCAAGGACCAATGTTGGTCCCGCTCTGGACAAAATCAACGTAATTACGATCTACATTAATTTAACATAGTCTTACATGTCGGCAAGTCCAACGTGTTTTTCGCGTGATGAATTCGCGCACGCCATGTTCATTGTAGGCCCCTGCTCTTAATAAACTGTGATATTATGGATTAATAAACAAAACTGTAATATTATGGATTAATAAACCATTTGCAAGTGTATTAAAAAATAACAAAGAGAAGATAAATACAATATAAGTTCAGATCAATTTGAACAAGAAATGTGAAAATATTACTGTTGAATAATACATTGAGCAAAATATTCGATACGAGTCTTTAAACGTATTATAAACGGATATTATATTTCCAAAAACAACATTAATTGCGTCCTTAAGAGAAATATGTCACATTTAAAGATCACCACCTGACAAAAGTTTGAACCAGCCATACGCTGGCTATTTATTTGTATTTCAAAGATTTTTTGTGCTTGGGAAACTACAGAGGAATCACAAATCGGTATTGAATAATTCAGACACAAAAAAGGCCTTCGGCTACTTACTCCAGACATAGCGCCTCCGCTCGTAACGTCGAAAGTCAGCTTGAACTACCCCCTATCAATTACTATATAGGGGGTGGGATGGGGGGTCATTTACTGATACCTTCCCCCCTCCCCTCCTATTTATTACTATATAGGGGCTGGGGTCATTTACTGATACGTCCCCCCCCCCTCCTATCTATTACTATATAGGGGGTGGGATGGGGGGTCATTTACTGATACCTTTCCCCCCCTCCTATTTATTACTATATAGGGGCTGGGGTCATTTACTGATACCTTTCCCCCCCTCCTATTTATTACTATATAGGGGGTGGGATGGGGGTCATTTACTGATACCCCCCCTCCTATTTATTACTATATAGGGGCTGGGGTCATTTACTGATACCTTTCTTGTTGTATCATTGCTATCAAATTTAAGGTCGTTTTCCACGGAGCGGAATTTCCGGCTTTGTCTTGTGATTTCTCGGGTGGAACTAATTAGAAAAGACAAAGAGAAATTCCGCCTAGTGAAAACCGGCTTTATGCGATTTAAAAATGCCGCTCGAAATCGCATTTTTCCACCCTTGGGAATTGCATGTATAAAGCTATTGTCTGAGTATTGAAATTATTCTCATTTGGGTCAAATTTAAGTCGCTTGAATCAAGATTGAGTGGTTAAATCATCTTACAGAACTGGACGTTTGCAGACTGAACTCGCAAATTCAATAGTTTCCCAAATGGGCAGCAAGCATTTGGGCAAATGTTGGAAAATTGGAAGACTATTTAAATCCTAAAAGTGGAAAAATGCACTTTCAACTGACCACTATAAATTAGATCGTATTTGGTCATTTTTTATCGCAATGATTCCATAAAGATATGTATGTCATTTGACAGCTAAAAGCCCAAGTAGTGGAAAGAGCCTGGGTACTGGGTTAAAATATAACCTGCTGTTTTAGTTTGTGTATTTCTGCATGTCTGTTTATATCAAAACCTCAGATAAGTAAACTCCTACTGAGGCCCGTTTCATACGCCGTACTTCACATGTGCCGAATACATTAAAGACAATAATGAGCTGAAATGCCTCATTACCAATAATATTGTTTTTAATGTATTCGGCACATGTGAAGTACGGCGTATGAAACGGGCCTGATCCGGACAAGATCGCTGAAGAAATATTTTCAAATTTATAGACAAGCTGTCATGAAGTTTGCTTTGAATTTTAGGATAACCTATAGGGTTAAGCTAACCCAGCTTGAACAACCGGCCCAAGATCTTTATAAATACGAAAACCTAAAACCTATATAAACGTAATAATTAACACACGATAAATAACCTGTCAAACTTGGATTACCTTTTTTATACACCCTGTATATCGTATATTTATCAGTTATAGACCTGAAACGAGGGGTATTCCACAAAAAATTACCCTGAGGGATGAAATATTCGGGGTATTGTCCTCTTATTCGTTTGGATAGATCTGATGGTAGACGGGCAGGAGGGGTGGCTGTTTACGTAACGTCTGCTATCCCAATCAAACGTAGGAATGACTTAGAATCATCTGATTTTGAATTGTTATGGATAGAGTTAAAAATTGGCTCGAATAACTTGTTTTGTGGAATATGTTATAGACCACCAGGTGGTGTTTCTGATGCTAATACTTGTTTCTTACAAAATTTGCAAACTTGTCTGGATAAAATCAATACCAAACCTGACTCACTTGTAATTTTAATCGGTGATTTTAATGCTCATTATGACCCTTCGAATATGTCTGATTCAAGTGATTTTGGATGCCTTTTGTATCGATGGATGCAGTGCAATAATTTATTTCAAGTAATCAATGAACCGACACGAATTACACAAAATGGTGCTACTATTTTAGATCTTGTCATAACCAACTGCCCAGGATTTTTTGTTCAAAGTGGAACTTTGAGTCCCCCAGCCAATTGCGATCATTCTTTGATTTTTGCCAAAATGTGCATATCGTTCTCAAAGCAGAAGTGCTACAAACGTCTTATTTGGAATTTTCATAATGTTAATGAAACTGCTTTGTGTAATTCTTTATTAGCGGTAGACTGAGAAAGTCTGAAAGATGAAGATATAAATATTGCCTATGAAAAATGGTATAGTCGTTTTCGAGGTATAATTGAGTCACATATTCCTCATAAAACTGTCACAATACGTCCTCGTGATAAACCGTGGATGAATGCAAATGTTAGGCGAGAAATTCGTAAGAGAAACAGATTACTGAAAATTCATTGTAAAACGAGATCCACAGTTTCCTGGGAAAAATACAGGCGGCAAAGAAATTATACAACAACTCTCATTCGTTCAAATAAAAAAATGTACAATAAAAAGCTGAACGCCAGACTTCAAGATCCTTTAATTAGTAGTAAAAACTGGTGGGGTATCGTAAAGTCTCTTTATGGGGCAAAGATTCAAACGTCAATCCCAACCCTAGTTGATGGTGTAAAAGTTATTAGTGATGCTAAAGAAAAGGCCGAACTCTTTAATGAATATTTTTGCACTCAGTGTAATGTGGATGATAGTTGTGCTTCTCTCCCAACTAATAACGTCCGAGCTACTGTTACTCTATCACTTATCCAAACATCAGAAGAAGAGGTCAATAATCTCTTGAAAAATGTGGATGCTGGTAAAGCTTGTGGCTTTGATGGTATTGGGAACAACATATTAAAGTTATGTGCTAACGGTATATCTAATTCATTTACTAGCTTTGTTAATTTTTCTTTCTCATCTGGAAAATATCCAGACAAATGGAAACTAGCAAATGTTATCCCAATTTTTAAAAAGGATGATCGTCAGTCGAAGCTCAACTATCGTCCGATTTCTTTACTAGTCTCTTTGTCCAAAATTGTTGAAAAAATTGCATATATTCGATTATATAATTTTCTACTAGAAATTGGTTTTCTAAACCCACTGCAGTCCGGTTTTCGACCGGGTGATTCCACTGTGAATCAATTAATGTACATTGTGCATACGATTTATCACGCACTTGAACAAGGGAAAGAAGTTCGGATGGTATTTCTCGACATCAGCAAAGCTTTTGATAAAGTATGGCACAAAGGGCTTTTATACAAACTTGAAGTAATTGGTATTCAGGATCCACTGTTATGTTGGCTTAAAAGTTATTTATCAAATCGAAAACAACGAGTTGTGATTGAAGGCCAGTCTTCTAAGTGGGAAAGTATAAAAGCGGGTGTTCCCCAGGGTTCTGTCCTTGGCCCTTTGCTATTTTTTATATATATCAATGACATAACTAAAAATCTTCAGTCAGATTGTTTTTTGTATGCGGATGACACGTCAATCCTTGATATTGTTGATGTACCTAATATGTCCTCGATAAAGTTGAATAATGATCTTACTTCAATTAAGGATTGGGCATCCCAATGGTTAGTTACAATTAACCCAACTAAGACCGAATCGATTATTTTTTCAACCAAAAGGATTAAGCCATATCATCCTGATTTATTTTATGAAGGTAAAAAAATTGCTATGGTTTCACAGCATACGCACCTCGGCGTCACACTATCTAGTACTTGTCATGGAAAGCTCATATTTTAAAAGTATATGAAAAGGCATGCCAGAGGTTAAATATGCTTAAAGGATTAAAGTATAAATTAAATAGGGAAACTTTAAACATCATATAAATCTCTTGTTCGTCCCGTGATGGAATATGCTGATGTATTGTGGGACGGTTGCATGGACGGTGAGAGCGATCTTCTCGAATTTGTCCAATATGAATCTGCTAAAATCGTAACGGGTGCCATGAAGGGCACCAGTAGAAAAAGTCTAATGAAAGAAACAGGCTGGGAAGATATGAAGCTTAGACGTTGTATACATAAATTAATTTTTTATTTTAAGATCGTTAACAATCTTGTTCCAAATTATTTAAAAGAATTATTACCTTCTCAGGTGCTCGAGCGAACTCATTATTCTGTGAGATCGCAATCTGATTTTACATTGTTTCCAGTGCGCACTGAGCGTTTTAAAAAGTCTTTCTTTCCATCTGCTACCAAACTGTGGAATGGGCTAGATACATCTGTACGTAATCTTCCGTCAATTTCTCGTTTCAAAAAAGTTTTGTTAGACCTTTTCAATCTTCAACCAAGTCCAACCCTATTTAATTATTCTCTTGATAGATATTCATCTATCATTCATACTCGAATACGTTTGGACGCTTGTGCATTAAATTATTATTTATTTAAAATTGGTAGTAAATTATCTCCTAAATGTACTTGTGGTTTTGAAATTGAAACAATTAATCATTATTTTTTATATTGTCCGATTTTTGCTGCTCAAAGATTGAAGCTGCTCACCTCTGCTGCTCGCATTTTTGCTGATAGATGGCTTGCACTGTCCAATTCACAAATAATAAAGCTTTTTTTGTTTGGATCCTCATTACTTTCTGAGGATGAAAATTTTCAAATCTTTTACCACGTCCAAAATTTTATAAAAGAAACAAAACGTTTCCATACTCAGGAGATTTAAATCTGTTTGCAGTTCATCTTTCAGTATTTCCTTGTGTGTTATTCTTCTACATAGCTACTGATTGTATTTAATTTATTGTCTAATTGATTTGTGTGTGTGATTTGTAAGTATGTAAATGTGAAGTGAGCCCCCTAGATGAGCAACCAGTAGCTCTTGGGGCAAACTTCGTTTTTGAATTAAATATTTATTAAACAAAAAAAAAAAAAAAAAAATATTCCGAGGGCGAAGCCCAAGGAATATTTCATCCCGCAGGGTAATTTTTTGTGGAATACCCCGAGTGAAAGGTCTATAAATGGTATATTATACCGAACCTTTCAAAAATAAGTAGAAAACAAATACCATTCAATTAACTTTTAATTTCAAAACACAACTTTTGATAACTTTACATTTAAAGTTTACATTTAAAGTCGAATTTCCCGCTCAAGCGTGGTATTCGAAGTCGAATACCATGGCCCCGGGTAAAACACCCAGGGTTCAAATTGCCTAGGTTATAGTATTCGCTGAAAAATACCATGGTCATGTGGTACAAATTTAGTTCTCTGATTGGACAAGCTCATTGTGAGGTATAATATTAGACAGAATCCATGTAAAGAAACAATGATATGATGATATAAACCCGAACTTTAAAATCTGGACTTGAATATATTATGACGTATGAAACACCCAAGTCAATAAAATTTCTGATCGACGGAGCAACGTATGGGGATTGGGGAAACGTGTATTGTTACTATTTTCACCTCAAAATAAACATAGATTAACCAAATAAATACATTTATAAATATATATTATACTAAAATCGAAAGATTGTCTCAAGATTGCATTACTTTGGATTTTACAGAAAGATTGTGTCAAGATAACTTTATTTTTTTACGTTGATTTAATCAAAGCCATTTTGTAAATCTTCCTCGACTGCTTCATCTAAAATTTCTCCTTCGTCTTCGCTGCCTCCAGCATCGCCATTAGTGATGACTTTATGTTGTACACCACGCTCTAGAGGAATATCTAGCGCTTTGTGGATAACTTCAATAGTTCTTATGTTGACATAGAAAGACATGTTGACGCTTGGGACACGCTGTCGTAGTTCCTGCATTAATGAATATGCCTGTGAAATGAAACAGACGTCAACGTGAAGCAAGGAATGCTTGGTTAAAGGCCGGTTACCATTACATCGAGACTATGAGCATGCACCGTAAAGTTATCGCGTGACCACGAGCGGCTCACTTGTGACGCGCGCATGCACGCTTTGAATGTTGACCGCGCGACCGAATTGTGCGCTTCCTCCGCGCGCGCAAGCTGGACGTAATGGAAAGCAACCTTTAAGACGCAAGGAAGGCCGAGCGATTTTTGAATTAGAGAGGAAATAAAGAACATTTGGGAATAGTGAAATCACAATTTCACTATTCCCATATTGCACATGTAAATCCGAAAGCTGGACAAACCTTAGAGTAGTTCTGTTGTCTTGCTAAATGCTCAACCATGATTCCATAAACATCTCCTATCCGTACTGCCGTCTCAATATCAGGTTCCTCCAATAATATTTGACATTGCTTTATCGCTTCATCTGCATCATCTTCATATGACCTGGATCATAGTTGAAGCACATATGTTTTACGACAAGAAATGTTGTTCTCCTCTTGCAGATAAGGCAGAAGATTCACAGTTAAACAATTATATTACAGACAGCTCTCTAATACGGATACCTCTCTAATACCGACATCTCTCTTACAAAAACCTCTCTAATACAGCTCTCTAATACAAGCACCTCTCTAATACAAGCACCTCTCTAATACAAGCACCTCTCTAATACAAGCACCTACAAGATACCTCTAATACGGACACCTCTCTAATTCTGAAACCTCTCTAATACAGACACCTCTCTAATACGGACGCCTTGGGTTCCATGTAAAAGATATTGAAGTACTTGTGTATACCTCTTCGCTTGAATAAATTTCTTGATCAAACCAATTCTTTGTTTAATGAACGCCATCTTTTCTTCCTGACTTGAAGCATTCTTTAATTTTGCCTTTCCAAGACATTTATATGACTCTGATAACGCCCCCACGGCTTTCTCGTAATTCTGATATTCATCTATTTCAACCTAGATAAAAGACAGACTATTTTATTTATAAGTTTTAAATAAAGCCTAGCAAATGAGTTTCAAAAAAGACAAAACCAAAAAGAATGTTTTATTATTCGTTTCATACAATGAATTTTGAAGCAATTTTTGTTTGCAGAAATGAGAAGAATTAATTTACTTGCTTCAATTTTTTGCCTAAATTTTTTCTGTCTAAATGGAAAGGAAAGCAAATTAATTTGAAGACAGAACTGAAATTAATCAAAAGTAGAAACAGTTTATCGGCAAAACCAGTTCAGTTGAATGAACATTTCAAACATTTTACGAAGCGTTTCAGAATAAATTTTTCATTAAATCAAAGCTCACAAAATGCAAAATAACATACCTACAGTATATATTTCGGAAATTCATTGTTGTATAGCTGAAAGTACTAATCTTTCAACCATTTTCCCGTTTTGTATAAAAAATATAAAGAAAATTTAAAATATCGTGTGTCACACGACACAATGCGTGTCTGTGTTATTCTTGGCCAATTATTAATATTTCATGTTAGATCAATGTTTGAATTTTGGATGACCATCAATAATAAGCCCTGCAATAATCTTGAACACAGCTATTTTATTTTTGCGGACACCCTGTAGAACAAAGATTAAGAATATCTACCTGTGCGCATGCGTCATAAAAACTAGCCAAGGAATCGAGGGCTCTTCCCTTAGTGTAAAAACCAATAATATTCTTCATAATGTCAGGATCCTTCCTCCAATCCAATGACTGGAGATAGTTAGCAGCCATGACGTAAATCTCACGTTGTCTTGATACTCCAGCAAAGAAAACAATCTTCTCTGTATCGCCTGATTTAAGAAGAGCTTTCATTGCCTAAAAATATAACAGCGAAGCTATTAGTTTGAGTACAGAAATGCTTCATTGCCGGCAGAAATATAACAACGAAACTATAGCATGAGTACAGAAGTGCTGTTATTGCCTGCAGAAAATTTAGATTGTGAAACGTCGCAGAAACAACAATTTGCGACCAGCAAAGCAGTTCTGTTTCCCAACAAATTAAAAAAAAATTGTTTTCCAACTGCAACTTCTGTTGCGGAAACAATGCCCACATTAGGGAAAGGTTGTTAGAAAACAATGTTTTCTGGTTTGTCCATCTGCAGGAAACATTACTAAGTAACAGTGTTTCTTGATTTGCTCACCTTCGGAAATGTCTAGGAAACAACGTTGTTTCCTGGTTTGTTCACCTTCAGGAAACATGGCTAGGAAACAATGTTTCTTGGTTTGTCCAACTTCACAAAAACATGGCTAGGAAACAATGGTTCCTGCTTTGTCCACCTTCGGGGAACATTACTAGGAAACAATATTTCCTATAGTTTACTCATTTTCAAGAAACATGCCTAGGAAACAATGTTTCACGGTTAGCCCACCACGCGAAATAATATTTCTTGGTTTGTCCACCTTCGAAAAACACGGCTAGTCTAGGACCTTAAAAATGTTCGTTTTTAAACTATGGTAAACTTGCAAAAACCTGAAACAAAATGACTGACCTTTATTTTATTTCCTGCTTGTGTAAACTTTTTGGTAGCGAGATGATAAGATCCTTGTTGCATACAGCATTCAGCAATCCTTTCTAAAATCTTATTTCGCAGCTCTGTGTTACTTGTATCTTTTGATAAAGTCATTTTCTCTGCAAGTTCCTCTGTTATCATCACGTTGTGAGAAAGACAGAGATCCATTGCTGCAACGTACTTCAAAAAGTGAAAATAACGTTAAAGGAAATAGCAATAAAAATAAGTTTCTCTCATTAAAAAAAAACAACTTTTGATGTAATATATGAATAACGAGAGCGAGTGTTTCACCGGGATATCCAAACACGAGAAAATAATGTATGAAAACACGAGCGCGAAGCGCCAGTGTTTTCATACATTGTTTTCGAGTGTACGAGCTCGAGTTGTTTATATGGCTTCTCAAATGAATCGAGACGTAACAGAATGTTTTCGTTTGCTGATTTGAATAGAATTCTTAACCAAGAATAACGTACTTAGGAATTCTATTCAAGTAATTTTGCATGCGTAATTAAGATATTTGATGAAAACACTAGTGACTTTCATCAAGTTTCACCGGGTTATCCAAATGGCATCTTCTGATCAAATAGGTGATTATCATTGGCTGAATTGCTCATGAATTATTAATGAATTTGAGAAGTAATATATGAAAACCTTTGCAATTCTTCCGTATGCTGTTTGGTTTTCGAAATATTTGGACCAAAATATATCCTTGCCTTTGGTTCAATATTCATAACGTCACAAATTGCGTTGGCACAAAATATTAAACAAACTTCTCCAGAAAGGCAGTCTTAGTTTTAACAGATTTACGTGAGTTATAACATCACCAAAGGCCTAGTTTATTGGTTCAAATATGAAAACAAGATGGCGGACTACTGGTCAAAATATCTCTAAAACCTTTCATGACATTCCCTATCCAACTCATTGCAATCATTCAAGAGCAAAACACGAGGGAAATCAGCACGATATCGTCGTCTTGACACCAGTCATAAAGTCCATACATTAACTCAATATATTTACCACGTATTTTTGTTAAAGCACTGGTTCGTTTGAAAGGTTATCCAGTGGCGGACACTAGAGAGGGAATAGAGGACTGAGGGGAGGGGACCCCCCGCTCCCAACAATTTCTTAGAGCAAGTCTGATTAACTGTGTAACCGTAGTCTATAGACATGGTGTAGTCTGGAAACTAAACAGAAGTAATTGTGTTAAGTTTTACGCCCGTATTCTAAAAGCTCACTCACACTCATTGAGTGGAGGTTCAATCTGAGCTTCTCTCGAGTGTCAATGCTGTTTTTGAATAGCTGGAGGGTTAGTGTCATACCTTACTATGTGACTACTCACCCTCCAGCTACTCAAAAACAGCATTGACACTCAAGAGAAGCTCAGATTGAACCTCCACTCATTGAGTGTGAGAGTGTGAGTGAGCTTTTAGAATACGGGCTTTCGTCTGAGTTTATGTTAATTTGTGCATGGTCACACGGTGATTGAGTTCATTGTATTTCCGTATAATGAAGTAATCGTCCAAAAGGGATAGCTGAAATGAAACGTGCAACCACGATGAATAATATTTAATGAAGTTGAGTCAAAGAATTTGTGCATGGTGGGGTACAGTTCAATATCAAACAATGGCCTCCTATTTTGTAGCTTTGAAGTTTGCCGTGGTTCTAGACCATCATATCTTGACAGACTATGGTGTAAGTTGTAAAAATACTTTTTCAACCACGACAACATTGATAGGCTATCCATTATATATTGTGTAGAAATTAAGGCAAAAAAGTTTGAAGAACTGAGATTTCTAGCTAGAAAAGGTGATCATATGTTGGCGACCTAATTCACACCCCCGATATTTCGCAATCAGTCCGCGACTGGTTTTATCTATCTCAAATTCATGAATAATTAATATGAGTTAATCAAAGGAAATTACAGACAACTGTGACAGCAACCAACTGATTCATTTGAGAATTTGATATGTCAGCTGCGTCTCGGCCTGAACTGCTTGGACTGGATATCCGGTAAAGTCCTCATAGTTTGCTAGAAACTCGGCTGGCGTCTCATTTTTGACCAATTACTTGTGTATCATTAAAATGCGTCCAACATTCTCTGCTCTGCAATTTTGTTATAGACAATCGAGAGGAGTGGCCTGGAAACGCGATTGTTTTCAGACCTGGAAAAAGTGTTTAATGTTCCTTGGATCTTGAATTTGCATTTTTCTAATATTTCTCAAAAGTGTGTAAAAACAATGGAAAAGTTGACTGTGCATTGCTCCATTATGTATGCAACAACATACTACACTTGAGTGTATTTACGTTGCATGTCTCAAATGATAGATAAAGAAGTATGACATAATGATTGCTTAAGATTCTTCCATAACGTTTGTGTGAAAAATTGAAAACGTTCCTCATCCTCATCTAGGGTTGGGCGATATTTCGATTTATCGCGATATTTTCAATCACGATTATCGTATCGAAGGTAGAAACTTGAGCGACGATATATCGAAATTATCGTCATGCTCAATGACTATTTATGTGTATATAGCTGTTATAAAATCCTAAAAAATTCTTTTCAATTCGTAGAAAATATAGTTTTTAAAACAATTAAAACTATTTCCTGAATTAAATACGAATTTAATACGATACAAAAGCTAATATTTATGTATTGATCTGCTGAAATTGCAGACTTTGCTTGCGCTGTGTGCCCACGGCATTTGTGCCAGCGGAGACACAGTAGACACTGCATAGACAGTTCTCATGGTTTATGAACAATAAATATTAGACTAGAAAAAGCCTTCATATTACTTTAATTTGTTGTTTTACTTGTTTTTAATAAGATTATATATAAGCTACTATGCTTTGATATTAATTAAAATTGAAAAAATGTGGTCATTGTTTTTATTGCATTTATCGCGATATTATCGAATATCGTGATAATTTCCTTGACAATAATCGTGAGATGATTTTTTT